CTGATTATTTCAATTTTGAACATGATTTTGCATAGCTTGTCACTAGTACAACTCGGTATAGAAAATGCTTCTGTCTGAATGCCTTAGAGCACAGGTGTCAAACTCAGTTCCAAAAGGGCCGCAACTCTGCACAGTTTCGTTCCAACCCTAATTTAACACACCTGATCAAACTAATTAAGTCCTTCAGGCTTGTTTGAAACCTACAGGTAAGTGTGTTGGAACAGGGTTGGAACTAAACTGTGCTGGGCTTCGGCCCTTCAGGAATTGATTTTGACACCCCTGCCTTAGAGGTTTAATAAAACCGACTTTACTGACAAAATGCACATGAAAATTCAATTAATTTTAAGTTTTTTTTATTTTATTTTTTTTATAGTGCTTTTCACAATAATTATTGTGAAAAAGAGTGTGTGTATGTGTTATCCTTCTAGTCATCGGATGGTTGGCATTATCTCTTCACAGGTCTTGGATCTAATCTAGGTGTGCTGCACCATCTTTAAAGGTCTCGGGATAATAGTATTTCTTACAAAGTGCCCTGGTCTATTAAAACAGGAGGAGTGTGTCCTACAGGTTGTTTGTAACTCACCTGCATGGAACACACAGTATGTGATGCATTGTGTATATAATTTACTAAAAAGATCTTTAATCTAGTTTTAAAATAAAAAAGTGTGTCTCGGACATTATCAGGAATGCTATTCCAGAGTTTAGGAGAATGCTCAACCTCCTTTAGTGGACTTTGCTGTACTACCAGAAGCTCTGAGTTTTGAGATCTTAAATAGCGGGTTTGTTACAAGACTGAAGGTTGGTTAGATAAACAGGAGCTAGACTATTTAAAGCTTTATAAGTAAGACACAATATTTTAAAAGCAAAATGGAACTTAACAGGAAGCTAGTGTAAGGAGGATCAGATTGGGGTGATATAAACAAAATCAACTTCAATAAATGACGCAGCCCTATGAGTAAATTGCATCATTTGCATCATGTAGGCTTAAGGGGAGATCTATACCACCCAAGACCATTGAAAGGAATGCTAATTCATGATTTTAGCTGGTGTATAAACCTTCTGTATGGATACAAACACAATAATTTTCACTGAGCCAAGCTGGCCACACATTCTTCAAGAATACAATCTATAATTGGCCTAAAATCTGCACATTATGCTGAGAAAGTGTTCTGTAAAAACAAGCATAATTGCTGAGAAAATGCTACCTAATCCATTTTGTTTAAAACAATTGTCTGGTAACACTTGGCATCCTCTAAAAACACTATTTAGCAAGTAAATCCATTGTTCGTCCAACAGTGCTAATTAGCAATACAATAAACATTAGTTTTAGAACATGGGTGGGCAAACTCTGTTCTGAAGGGCTGGTGTCCTGCACAGTTTAGCTCCAACTCTAATCAAACACACCTGCTTATAAATTTCTAGTGATTCTAAAGACACCAATTAGCATGTTCAGGTGTGTTTGATTAGTGTTGGAGCTAAGCTGTTCAGGACACCGGCCCTCCATGACCGGGTTTGGCCACCACTGTTGTAAAAACTATGTAGAACGCTTATTGTGTAAATTGAACTATGCTACATTATGTCTGAAGGAACAATACCTTCAGAAAGGAAATCTAGTTTTTGAAGGACTATAACATGCGACATACCAGAGCAACAACAATCAACAAATGTCAAAAGGTGAGTTTTTCATTTCACAACACAACAAATAAGAAAGAATAATGACAAAGAGAGGAGAAAAAACAACTGCAGGCACTTGTATGTATAATTTCGATTACTGATTTTATATTTATATGCATTTCTTTCCTTTTATTTTACATATGAAAGGTTGCACACATGATTTTGATGTGACGTTCTTTTGGTTTTTCTGTTAGAGGAAAAATCCATTGATTGCATTCTTAATTGCCTATGAAACCAAGGACAGGTTTGAAGGAGGCTTCGAATCGGGACAGCCTTCATCATGCCACAATAACACAATCAGCCTTTGAATATGACCTTCAAAGGATGCAGCTTTTGAATTGGGACACAATTACAGTGTTTACAATAAATTGTTCCTAATATGGTCAAAAAATGATCTGAAGCAATGCAGATGATAATCAGATCATCAGGGATGATTCGAAAAAGTTATTTGTGTTGTGGAGGGTGGGGTGTAAATTCAAAATAGCAAGATTTATTTTTTTCTTTTGACATTGCACTGTACATATTTAAAAAAAATAGCTTCAACTAATTATTATATAGTACTTAGTATCACATATTATATATTTTAGCTGAACTAAACTTGTAAAATATATATATTTTAGCTGAACTAAACTTGTAAAATATATATATTTTAGCTGAACTAAACTTGTCATTACATGCAATATAATGCTGGCTGGATTTGTATTAGGGTTAATGGACTTAATAGTCAACATTAGTCATTCTGAATGTTTGCTGGTTTTAAAAAAAATATATGTCTATACATGTCTATAGTACCTGACAAGAGTCTTGTCATCGAGAGCAACACAAAATAACTTGACTTTTAGTTGATAATTTGTAAAAAAAGAAAAGTAGATTTTTTTTGATGAAGTCTGTTGAACTTTTTCTCAATCGTCATAAATACTGCAGAATACCTATTGAAACCAACATGGACCCAAGATTCTCAAGGAAATCAGTCAAGATTGGTGACAAGACTTTTGTCTAAGCAAAGTCAGATCTTACATCGTAATTAATTAAAAATCAAGGCATGATTATATATATATATATATATATATATATATATATATGTATATATATATATATATATATATATATATATATGTATATATAGTAAGAGTAATCTAGAGGCGTGTACAGACATATGTTGATATATTGAGACTTATACACACTACCTGTCAGCCTTTCATATAAGCCACTTCTGATACCAAATGATCAACTAGAAGTCAAGTTATTATCTGTTGTTCCTAAAACTTGGATTTAGGACAAGACTTTTGTCAGGTAGTGTGTATAAGTCTCAATATATCAGCATATGCCTGTACACGTCTATACCTAAGCCCAAGCAAGGAGTCTAGTTCAATGTAGGTATTATTGTTCCTGTAACATGTTATCAATTGGTGATTTTACAGTGTCTTTATGGTATAATTGATTTGGTATGAGCCAGGGAACAATAAGAAAATTATTTAGATTTTCTTTTATGATTTAAAAGTTACTAGAGAAAAAATATAGACTGTTGGTGGCACTAGATAGTTTTGGATTTACAGTTCTATTTGTGTGCCAAACTTTCCTGCAAGATGTTCAATAAGCTCCATACTTCAAAGGCAGATGATTAACCAAATGATCCATTAATACTACAGTGGATGCTGGGAACTAACACTTAACATATAAAATACCCCTATTAAACTATTTAAAAGGTCAGAGGAGTCAGATTTTTGCAATACACTGGAAGTCTCATAAGCTGTAGCACATACTCAGATAAACATCTTGACATGAGAATGTGTTATATTCACATTTCTTCATCAGAGTTGTTCAAAATACTTATTCATGTATTCACAGAGTAGCCCATGTACGTGACATAAGCTCTGTGCAAACATAAAGTAGCTATATTAGTTTTTATTTAGTTTTTTTTTTTTTACCTCTGCCTTCAGATGTATGAAGGGGTTCAGTATTTATTGTCTACAAAATAAATAACAAAAGCAGCTGCATGAATGCAAAAGTAAAAAAATAAAATAAAATAAAAGCAATGACCGAACCCCTTTGTGTTTACAATTGCAAGAGCTGCCTTTTAGAGGTCATTTCTGGTTAATGATCTCAGAATTTACCAGTATTTTGGAATAGATGTGTGAATGGTGCTTTTCCAGACAAAATAAAGAACATTGTTTCCTGTGTTAACAGCAATTTTTTCTACAGTCATTTTGATAATTAATCAAATGTTTACTGGAATTGCTATGCAAAAGGGTCTTATATTCTAGTTTCTATGGAAAAACCCCAAGCATTAATTAAGAAGAGTGGCAAATTTTTAATTTTGGTTTAAAATTCTTACAGATATGTGGCAGTAACAATCTAAATTCTGTACATTCTACATCCTATAGGACTCTGACAGGGAAACTAAAATACCAATCCCACATGTACGTATGTCCTAACTGCTCCAAGTGTTAAAGGAATAACTGAAATAAAATTAAAAAATCACTTACTATTTATTCACCTTTAAGTGGTTTCAGACGTTTATGAGTCAAAATAGACCATTTGTGAGAAAACAATGTGCATAGTTTATAATTTTTTTTATAGAAATTAAATTTAAATTCCTAACTCATTTTAGTGATTCAGAATCAATTCTTGGTATCTTTATTTATAATGAACATTGATTTTTATAGCTAACAAACAGCTACATTAAACCCATTAAAGTTTATTTAAAATTAAAGTTGCAGAGACTTCAGTTTGTTAATGTACTTCCAACCAAAAAGGCTTTTTTTTGTGTCATTCTCTCATAGCAAGCTAATGGTTAGAGGGGTGTAATTAATAAAATGATGGCTGCAGCTGTCAAACTGATGTCAACAGAGAAGGAATGCCACTCCAAACATGGAAGCAAATGATTGAAGATTACTGAAACAAACACCTTTATTCAGTGGACTCACTGGAAATTCATTGTTTATCTAAAGATAACCAATGTGTTCTAGCATTGTAAATTTTGATTATGATTACACACAGACTTTATAGGGAATATTTAAAAAAGCAATCAGCATTATGTTTGAGGGGCTGTGCATTACATTGAAATATATCAATTAGGGTTGGGTACCGAAACCCGGTGCCATTATAGCACCGTTACCTTTGTATCCGGTACACAGCAAAATTTCCAGTGTTGTTTGGAGTTGTTTTTACAGTGTAAATTTTTTTGAGTTAAAAAGTGTTATTTGTGGTGTTAATTTACGTGACATAAACACCTGCAGTGTACCCTTGTGGTCAGAGTAAGGGTTAATACTGCGAGTTAACTTAGTTAACACTATAAACAAGTTATTTCCATTTCCGGTCGCTTCACCTTACTTCCTCTTTGATTAATGGCGGATGGCACATGGAGAACATTCAAACAGGTAACTGTCATATTACTTATTTAACCACAAATATTCAATACATTTTTACATGCTTTATGTTTCTCAATGTTAAATTAATATTTGTAAATATTCTAACCGAGATTTCAAGTTCTAACCACTTGTCAATTTATACACGACAGACATCTGGAGCCGCGAGACAAGCTGCTTTAGCGGGAAAACAAAGGTAACTTTAAACATTTTACAGTTAACAGTTTTAAGGAGTTCCTATATTTGAATCGGGTTCAGTTCGAGCCTATTATGAGAAATAGGCAGTAATGACTCATGCAACCGTTTGAATTGTTTAAACTGTTTATTTGTTTTAAATATCTGCAAAGCAGCAGCTGTCAGTACTTAACGTTAGCTGAACCGTAACCTAGCTTTGTGTGTAATCTAACGTTATCTATAATGTTCACTGTTCAGTGCGATTGATTTGTGGCGCGAGCAGCGAGGAGTCGCGGGCTGCCTGTTCACGCTTTCATCGGTGCTTTTAAACGGTGAATAACGTTATACGATTCAAGTGTACAGGTACAGACCTGCAGACCATAATACGTTAAAAACAGACGCAAAATACATTCGCTGTAAAAGTTAGCCGTGCCTGTTGACATGAAGGGATAACGTTGGCCAGTCAAGAAATGATTCTTCTTTAACCGGTTCTATTCAGTGAATCAATCGAACCAGTTCACTACATTGAACTGAATCATTTGAAATTGTTCGCTTCTCCGGTAAGCACCAATCCTTAAAATGGCTTACTTTATAACCTGTCTGACACTCAGTTCCACTCAAAAATACCGTATGTTGAGTTTCGACTTATTCAGTAACTGTAACAGACGGAACTGCTGTGAAAAGAACTGATGATGAGCGCGAATCGAGTAACGTGTTCCCTATAAGTGGAGCTGAGCTCCACTGACAACGACCGAAAAATGCTAAGCTCAGAAGAGACGAACCCAAGCAGACTGTTATTGCCATTGTTTACCTAGCAAATTTCAATGTTGACTCTAAGGTAGTAGTCGAATAGTAACTTTATTTATTTAATATTGAAGTGCTGTTCAATTGCATTGCATGTAGAGCTGGCTTAGATAGAACTGTACGTACTCTTAACTTTTGAAGATATTTCATTAATGTGTAATGTGACAAAAAAAGTTTTTTTAATCTGTAATGTGCATTTATACAAGTATAATTTTCCTATAGCCTACGTCTTGCTAACAATACTAGTTAGACATTGGTATGTAGAATCCTTCATAATAAAAAAACAAAACAAAAAGAACGTAAATATAGTTATTTTTAGAAAAAGAAAAACATAATGTGCTTTTTTATTTATATGTACTATTCATAATAACATCGGCTTCTGTATCACCTTAACATGAAAATTAATAAATTAACTTGATTTAATTTTACTATGTCAAGTTTGTGATAGATTCTTGTTAATAATAAAGTGATATATTGTGTATTTTTCAACAGCTTCCATCATGTTGGTGAAAGTTCTATATTAAGGAGTGAAAAAATATGTAAAATTGCTTACTGATTTTACATTTCAATGTTTTCGCAGTGAAGATAAGTTAAGATTGTGCTGGTCAGAGTTGTGCTCACTAAAGTCATAACCATTTCCTGAGTCTGTTTTTTTTTTTTTTTTTTCAGTGAAAAGCAATTCACTGGATTTGGATTATCAACAACTGCAGATCCTCAAGTTTTCAATGACATGGACCCTAATGTAGAAGAGGAGATCTACCACGAGTTAATGGACAGCAGTCCACATTTATGCTTGACTGTTAGATGTTTGGAAGAAAATATTTCTGCTGGCCTGCCTGAGGGTAATTATTCAATAAATATTTGGACAGTTTTAAAATGCCTCTGTTTTACAGTAGTACAAGTCAAAACAGTTAGAATTAAGTAAAAAGAAGAAATTCATAGAAGAGCTTACTGAACAGTGGAGTGTGTATAGAAATAAAGAGTTTTTATGTTTCTTGACCATTGCCAGGTGTTCGTTTAGCTTAAGTTCATGTGATGCCCAGTGATGAAAGATTGATCAAAATAGTCTGTCAAAACCACAGTGTAGAAAAACATTGAGGATGATGGTGTATAGTAAAAGCTATTAGTACAGCATTGTTTTAAATTAAGTTGAAATATAAGATAAATTGATTGTAAACTAAAGAAAATATTACGTAAAGGTTAATAATAATGTTTTCCATTTCTCCATCAGTGATTTCACCCACAAGATCATCAACAGCCAGCACATGTACTAATACAGTTTCACTCTCTTCAACAGATCATGAAGACCCAAAGCGAAATATGCAGAATCAATTGACAAGGACTAACAGCTGCTTGATAGTAGATGGTAAAGGGCAAAACAGGTATATGCATATGTTGTTTGTTATGGTTAATTCAATCATATACTAATTCAGTTTTATTATTTTACAAGTATAACCATTTTTCTGGTCACTTTATCAGATTGTTCAAGATGCATTGGGAAAGCAATCTGGTGGTGATGAAGTACTTGACGAATACAAGGTCACAAAAACTTAAGGGCCACAGCACTAGACGGCAGCTGGTTAATATTGTCGTCAGTCACATGAAAGAGATTCATGGGTAAGATTTCATTAAATATATGCAAGAAAAGCATGGATTTTTTTTAAACCAAAAGAAAATAATAAAATGTAAAAAGTTAAGTACTGTCCTTAATCAAATATTTTACTGATTGTTAGGAGAATCCCCACGTGCAAGCAACAGGAGACTTATGCTTTGGGCATTATTTCTCTTTTTCCCAGCCTGAGAGACCCGTTTTCCGCAAAAGGCTATGTAAGAAATTGTCTTATTGTACTTAACACAAACTTGTTCATCCGTTTTAATTAATTAACGCAGAGGTGCCCAAACCTTGGTCCTGGAGAGCCAGTTTTCTGCAGAGTTTAGCTCCAACTGTAATTAAACACAAGCTCTTAACTAGCAAACTAGAAACTTTCAGGCAGTTGTGTTGAAGCAAGTTGGAGCTAAACTCTGCAAGACACTGGCCCTCCAGGAATGAGTTTCGACACCCCTGGTTTAAAGGTTTGTGTTTTTTATTTTTATTTGTATCATACAGTCAGTCTTTTTAATGTAACTGGCATTTTTAAAATATTTCTATCTATATAACAGGAACATTTTTACGATCCAGAAAAGGGAACCGTTTGTAATTAATCTAATATGCTTCTTTCTTAGATTATTCAAGACTTTAGTCTCCTGTTCAATGCTGAAACATCCAACAAGTTGCTTGAGAGGTGGGAGACTGCATTTAAGCACAGGATCATCAATGAGGCGAAATCTCTGACTTCAACTGCCAGACTTCATTGTCTTATTAATTCAGCAGATGGACAAGAATCTGAAAATGGTACGATTTCTAAGGATTTTGTAGTTTGAAATTTGCTTTGGTTTCTTTTGTATTTGTGAGCTATAAGTGTGAATGTGGGCTTGCTTCATTTTAATATTAATACGTATAACTTTATCATCATTCATTCAGACTGGGATAATAATGTCATCTGTCCTACTCCTTCTGCATCTCCTACCTCCTTCAGAGAGAAAAAAGACTTAAGATCAGTTCAACAGAGGCCTTTGAAAGACTTGTGCATTTCCATAAGGTAAAACTCACAATATTTTCGAAAGTCTTTTCATTGTTATTATTAAGGTTGTTAAGACCATTATGCGATGCTGTAAAATGTACCTTTTGAAACTTTTTTTTAAAAGCCAATACATTCAGTTGAATGCTGTTGAAGAATGTATGTTACATCTTGGATGAAATGAGGGTTTATCAAAAAATATATAAACATATTTTTGTGGTAATTCTTTTCCCTGTCACACTACACAATGAATGACATGAACACATTTTTTTTTTGCACTTTGGGTTAAGGTGGTTTTGTTATTTTTTGTGTTGTTTTCATTAACAAAATTGTAAGTTTCCTAATTGGTTTCCTGCATTTAATGACATATTTTTGGCTGTTTTTTTGCAGTCTTGTACCAGCATTGAAGACCATCTCAGTGAGAGGAAGGGCCACCAGCCATGTCGCCTAAGATCAGGAAGGATCAAGGGGAGGATTGACCATTTCTATGTGGTTATGGACAAACATCTCATCTCTTGTGCAGCAACAAGGTCCTTGAGTGCTGATGATGAACTCTTTAAAGACTGTGTTCAACTTGACGTACAAGGAAGCCCTTGTCTACATCTTTACCTTTCTGCAGACTACAGTCTACAACATCGATGTTGGACCTACCAGTGAGTCACCCAGGGTAAAGAAACTGCGTGCAAAGCTTTTACACTAAATGTTTCTTTTACAATAATGTGTTGGTGTTGTCAAAGCTTGCAAGCAAGCAGCACCTCTTTAAGACTCTCACAGTTTTTGATACTGAAAATGCTGTACATTTTATGTTGGTTTAACTGTGCGTTTAAGATGCATTGTTAAAAATAAAAGTTTAAACTGGTAAACTGTTCTGATTTTTTTTTTTAACTGATCAATGCAAACTGTCCTGTAATGCAGTAAACAATCTATATAACTAAAAATACATTTAAATATCAACCTAGGTATGTATGAGCACTATATTATTAGTGTTAAGATGAACACTCTTAGTGTTAAGCTATTAACACTGCGAGTGTAGTTTTAACATATTTACTTTATGCAAATAGGGAAAGTGAGTGGAAAACAGAGTTAAAGTCAACACTAGCAGTGCTTTTTTTTAACACTATGCAAGTGTAAAATAATTTACTCTTTTTCAAGTGTAAATTTAACTCGATTTAGTGTGGACCTATATAAACACTAAAGAAGTGTTAATTTTCACACTTTGAGAGTGAAATTAACACTTCAAAATTTGCTGTGGTACCAGATCAAATCAGCATATGAGTTTCGGTGCCTAATTTCGGTGCCACTGGTGCTGCGACAAGGATGTAAGTAGCATCAAGGGGTGCATCAAAGGCACACATACATAGGTGCGCGTTGTCACACCATCTCTACATTTCATCCTAAACAACTTTGAGGAATGTGGACAGGCAATGTCAGGCGTTTGTTCTTGTTGCTTAGGGAACGGATGCACGCAGTCATGCTCGCTCAAATAAATGTCTACAGTAAAGCTGTACGGGTCATTCACATATCATAATCAGCAGCACTTCTCACAAAACAGATGCTTTATACACATAAATACTTGTTTATTTATGTGTATAAATGTTTATTACTAACTTTTCCATGAACATGATTTGATTATAACTGCAGATCAATGACAGTGCGAAAAAGGCAGTTCCTTTGTTTATGTTCTGTGTAGCTCCACGAGCTCGTGACGTATCTCTGTAACCAATCAGCGTTCAGCTGCACGTGTAGCTCCGCCTTTTGGTACCCTTTCTCCTGTTTGGTACCCTTTCGAAAGGGTGCAGAAAAAGGGGTACGGTACGGTTTGGTTCGGTACGCTTTTGACAGTGGAAACGGCCATAAAAGCGTACCAAACCAAACTGAACCGTACCGTACCACTCAGTGGAAATGGGCCATAAGTGTTTTAATGTGTGTATTACAAGCAATGATTCTGACACTGCAACGTGAAGCAGATGTTTTACAAAAGTTGTGTGCAAGGGGAAACATGTCAAACTTAATGACACATTTGTGTCGCGAAATGCGGAGGGTTTTTTTTCTTTCCATTTAACGTGAGGTAAAGAGCACTCTTCCACCAGTCTCCGTGTCAACAAGCTTGGCCCCCATAAATCTGGACGCGCATTTTTGTCAAAACGCCTCGGAGAAGTTAAACTTAAAATAATATTTTTAAAAGATTTTGTCAAATAAAAGATTTTTCTAGAGTCATTCACATTAATTTTGTGGCTCAAAAGTATCGGTTCAGGTACCGTTTTAGAACTGATACCATTTTAAAAGTATTGATTTAGCACTGGTATTGAAATAACCCCAAACGATACCCAACCCTTATTTCAATGGACCAGGGTTAATTGTTCGGTTCATACTATGTTTACCACACATAAAGACATTTTGTGCCCTCAAACTGTTCCTGTGTGTAGAAATGTTTTATAAGCATCTTATTATGTGATTTTTGGATGTTGCAGCTGTGAAGTAACTGAAATCTTTCATTCTAGTGAAATGGAACTAGAAGGCCTGAATCACAACCAAATAGGGTTTTATTGTTGTTGTTGTTGTTGTTGTTGTTGTTTTAACAATGAGAGACAACTTTTTGAAAAAATAATAATAATAATTTGATTGGCAGTGAGCAATTTGTGCACTGTTTATGTGCCCCAGTAACCTCACATTTTAATCACCTGCTGCACCTTGCAGTCTTTTGAAAAAAGTAAACTCTGGGAAAAAATGCCTGATGTCATTCGGTCCAGTACCAAGTCCATTAAAGTTGCCATGAAACAAAAGTTAAAATTGCCTTCATTGTTTCATATCATTATGTACATCCCATTTAAATGAGAAAAAAAATAATGTAAAATAATGTAATGTCAAAAATAATGCATGATTTTGTCCATTGTGGACTGATTGGATCTTTGGAAGATGTCCGTGGCTAACATAATGAAGGAAGATTGGCGAATAAATGAAAGCAGGGCAGAAACAAGACGTACCCTGATATCTCCTCCCAAAAGGCATTCCATGTGACCAAAAACAAAGAAAAGTAATTTGAGAGGACAGCAAAGATTATGGTAAATTTGAATTTAATGGTAATTTAACAGTGGTTCCCTAGCAACATAAAAAGCACAGTGCACTGCTTTCAGAATCGAAAAGCACAACATAGGCTCATTCTGAAAATGGCTGCATTTCATCTTTAAAGCAAACTCTACAGGGTGGTATGATGCGATTCATTTTCTTGCTTACCAGCTGACAGCTTATCACTGTATGGATGGCTTTCCTGCTTATCTGGTAGCTCGACATGTATGTCAGTAGACTTGAGTGGAGTTGACCGCGACAAGGAGGTTCGAGTCCAGTGAAGAATGGTTCCAAAAAGCAGGTAAAACAGAAACAGAAGCCAAAAAAAAAAAAAAAAAAATCTAATAAAAAGTAAATAACAGGGTGAGAATGTGGTAAAATCTAAAAACATGGTAGAAAAATAAGACGAGAGCTTTTCTTTTTCTAAGATTCCTTATGAAAACTGTTGGTTGAGTTTAGAGAAGTGGTAGGGTGGTGGGGATCTGTCAGTTGGTCAGTTAGTCAGTCGACAATGGCCTCTGGTGGGTTTTTGTGAGAATGGCACTCGCGAGAGTAATTTGAGATCTCAAAAAGTATACACAGCGTCCTCTGGTGGATTCGCAAAATCAAAATTTGCAAAAAAACGTAGCTCCTGAGACATATTTTAAAATGTAGATAGGGGTACGTAATCAGAATGAGCCTGGGTTGGAAAAGCACATTCAGTGTAATCGACCTCTAATGCAGTCTGTTTGTAACTACTTTAGCCATGTGTTTATCTAAAAAAATAATTGTACACCTTAGAATGTTCAATCAGAATCGAGCATTCAACAACCCTCTAGTACAGGTGTTCCCAACAGGGGTGTCGCGGCCCACGAAGGGGCCTCAGCGAGCTCTTTGGGGGGTTGCATCATGTTTTAAACATTTCTTAGCACTGGACGATTAGAAGGAGAATGATTTTGTTGTCTTAGTTCATTTTATTCCCTCAACCACCAGTCCGTGGATCAATTTGTACTGGGCCACACAAGAAATCATTAATTATTTCCATTTTATTATCTGAGTCTGAACGATCTTTTATTTTTTAAAGTCTTTTATTTTGAAAAATAACCGTACTCTCGCTTACATCTGGGTCACTTGAGCACCCAGATTTAACCCACAAGTACCAAAATTAGTAAGAAACAGACATCTTTGGAAAGTATCTTTGCTAAAGGGGACCCGTGAACTGCCAAGGTATGGATTTGCAACCCATTTGTCAACAAATCAGATAAATCCAGCATGGCTCTGCAAGAAGATCAACTAATGGAGATCGCAAATGCGGCCGTTCGCAAATCGTGTATTTCTAGAGTTTGCACAAGTTTGCTGTTTATATTGAAGGTGCGTGGCATGACGAGCTCACGCCAAGACTCCCACGAACTCACTACGAGTCACGTGACAAAAATTGACCAATCAGCTACAGCTTGTATGGAATATTCATATTTCGGTAAGATTAGTTTTTGCGGACAAACACAGAACACCCAAACACTGCAGTGCTGTGTAGTTTTTTCGATAGATAAGATTTGTATCAGAGTGACAGCAATGTTTTGTCAGCTTGTCATCCTCATTCCTCTGGAAAAACGGTTGATGACCGCCTACCAACCTACAAACATACTGTTTGTTTGAGAACAACATTTTTTGTCATCTTTACTGCAAACTTATATGAGCGATAATATCATTAAATGTGGACGGGGGGCCTTACAATATTTTCCAGGGGAAAAGGGGGTCTTTGGCAAAAAAATGTTGGGAACCCTTGCTCTAGTACAGTAAAAAAGTTCACTATAATGCACCTTCTAATCCTCCAACCTGTCAAAGGAAGTGACCAATGGAGGCGAGTGCAAAACACATCCCAAGTGACTTAGCGTCTGCTCTTAAAATAACCCCTATTGTGGCTGCATCCTCCAGTGATGGAGAGTATGGCTGAGAGACAGAGGAATGAAAAGCAGAAAAGTGGAGACCGGCAAAAGCAGGCTTCAAACACAGGATTAAGGGGAGCGTGAAGAAGACACTTTCCCATGAGAATGAACAAAGGGCATGTGATTTGAAGAAGTAAGACCGCGTTCATTACATCTCTCAGGTAAATCCCTGCACATTGCCTGCTAGAGTAACCAAGCACGGGCTCACAAAGCCCTTAAAGTTAATTAGCGATAGGAGCATGAGCTGAGGAGGAGCGCTTGCCCCTGCACCTGTCCTGAGCAGCTCCTCACCCCGGCCTGACACACGCACACACCTCGGTCATTGACCCAGCGACGCAGTGGGAACAGCACCATCACACACATTCTCACAGGTATCACATCCGTAGGGCATAAGACACACATACTGTACACCTGATGCTGGACAGAACACCTTCATGATTGAATTCTGAAGCGGTGGTTCATGACCAGTGGGTCGAGACCCCAAAATAGGTCACTGGCTTGTTTTGATAAGGTCGCAGACAGCATGAAAAAACTGCATTATCTGTAGATAATGGCATTTAGCTAAACAGTGCAGACTTGTTTTTGTATTATATTATTCATTCATTCATTTTCTTTTCGGCCCTTTATTAATCTGGGGTCGGCACAGCGTAATGAACCGCCAACTTATACTGCACATTTTTATGCATCGGATGCCCTTCCAGCCGCAACCCATCTCTGGGAAATATTATATTATATTATATTATATTATATTATATTATATTATATTATATTATATTATATTATGTTATTTGAAGTAATAGATGTTTTTTATAAATATAATTCATAAACTAATCAAATGCTGTAAAGCTGCATTAGATAAAAATAT